TGTCGTCAAATTCCTTTGACCACCTCTTTATAAACCCATTCACGCCCATGGCCTTATTTACCATGGTAGAAATGTGTTCAGAAAACTTTAACTTGGGGTCTAGTTTAACACCAAGATCATCAACCAAGGTAATTCTCTCAAGAGAACCACCGCAGAGGCTATAAGGAGCCAAAAAGGGGCTGGAGCGATGAAATGTCATTACTTTGCATTTCGAGGCATTTAGGTGTAACATATTTGCACAGTCATGGTAACTGAAAGTTATTGAGATCGGATTTGTAGTGTCGCTTGAAGTATAGATTTTAGAACCACCGAAATTAAAATTTCCCTAGGCGAATATTGTAGCTTATGCTAGCGCCCCCTAGTGTTCATAATCGAGGGTGCAAGGGGGCAACGATCGGGAGTGAGAGTGTTGTAGCTACCTATTGATGTTAATTATTTGGCAATGGCGGATGGGGCACTTTCGCTGTTAACAGGTTCTGGTAGGTGAGCCCAGCTACTGTTATGATCTTTTCTATGCTGGTCCCCACCCGAAGAGGACGTCTCTGGAACAAGTTAATTATATAGCGACTATCTAAAACCGCGCCGAGGTTAAATCACATTGTTTTTCTGCTCAAAATTTAAAAAAAGATCGAAGAAATTATAAAGTAGACACAATTGTGGAGCAGCACCGAGATAACGAGTTGAAATAACAAGAGTGCCAATCGCCAATAAGCGGTAAGTCGGCCAGATGTTGGTTTCAGTGCAAATTTTTGGGCAACTTGTAGAGCAACCATTTTTTTTCTATGTGCAATTGCAGAATTGGCACTTAGTGCAAATTTTAGATTCGAATTGCCAAGCCATCGCGAGCTCATTAGCAGCTGACCATTAACTAATTGAGATCGATTCGCCGAACTAAAACCAGCAACAAATCAGCTGGAATGAATACCTCTGGTCGGGAATTCGCCGCATTCTAATATGCGTAACTAAGCAGAGATAAGCGCTCTCTGCAATTTGGAGCCGAATTAGTTGCAATTCGCACCTCCGAAGACATCGTCGGGACGGAGAAGCTGCGGAATTTAAACCGAAACACGTCGGGGTTATAAAATACCCTTTTCTTTTATAACTTATATCAGTTTTCTTTTCGTATATCTTCCTCTCTAGCCTAATTAGAGCGTGATAAGTTAAGAGTGATAGTGCAAAAGCAAAACCCTAAGTAAGAAAACCCCAATTGACTGGAATAGAAAAAAAACGCAGAGGAGCTTCATTATAATTGCGTGCTCGCATTGTACATATAGGTTAGGTTAGGTTGTCCCGGACGGCCCTCACGGGGCCACGCATAGGCCAATATGGCCCTTAGTTGTCCGGATTGGTGCGTATGGACCTTCTGAGTGTTTTTACGCGGTTTTGAAATCCGTGAGGATCGAGGAGAGTTTTGCAAAGGCAAGGAGTTTCGCTGGCGTCCTCTTGGATGCATTTTCCAGCGATGCCAGTACCGGGCTGCCAAGATGCATGTTTCTTGCCCTTGAGAGGGCCGGGCATTGGCAGATTAGATGTTCCAGGGTTTCGATAGCCCCAGATTCATCACATTTCCTGCACTTGTCACTGTTGGTGATGCCTAGTTTGACTGCATGTGCTGCAGCCAGGCAATGACCTGTGAGTATACCTATTAGCATCCTACAGTCCTTCCGTGGTAGGTGTAGTAGGTATTGGCTGAGTTTACCATTGCTCTCCTTGCACATGGTTTTCGCGATCTTGCAGTTGGTGGTTCTCCTCCACCTGCTGCTGGCCTGTATGTGTGCCGTCCTTTCTAGATCGCTTTGGAGCGCTCTGAGGGAGACAGGCACATTCTCAGTCCTGTCGTTTGCCAGCCCGACGCCTTCCTTAGCCAGTACGTCTGCTGTCTCGTTGCCTTCGATGCCCTGGTGGCTGGGAACCCAATAGATCCGCACTGACTTTGTCGTGCTTAGGAAATCTAGTGCCTCCCTGCTTGCCAGGACATTTTTGGAACTGACCGCTGACGACTGCATGGATCTTATCGCCGCCTGACTGTCCACGAACAGGTTCACCACATTATGTGGGCGTTCCGTACATCGAGCAACCTCCGCCGCTTTCCGTATGGCAAAGACTTCTGCCTGGAATATGCTGCATTGGTCCGGTAGCTTATAGGACAGCCTTATTTCAGGGTCTGTACAATATATGCCCGCACCTACTCCTCCCTCCATCTTGGAGCCATCCGTGTATATGTTTAGGTGTTCGTTCTGGTCCCAACTTTCTTTCCAGTCGTCGGGTTCCATGTGTATCGCTGTTTTGACGTCCAGGCACGTTCGGGGGATCATGTAGTCAGATATACTGATCATGTCTCGGCCTATTGAACTGTGCCCGAATCCTTGCAGCGACATATTGCCTGATGCGACTAGGCGTTGTGCTGCCTTACCTGCAGTCAGTCTAGCGTGGATGTCTAGGGGGTCAATTCCGAGTATTGTTTCGAGTGCTTTTGTTGGGGTTGACCTCAGCGCCCCAGTAATGCAGAGCAGTGCCTGCCGCTGAGTTCTGTCCATCAGCTTGTTGTAGGTTTTCTTTTCTGTAGCCTGCCACCACACTAAGACTCCATACAGCAGAGTCGGTCGCACTACCGAGATGTAGATCCAGTGCATTAGTGCAGGTGATAGGCCCCATGTGCTGCTAAGCATCTTCTTGGATGCATATAGCGCAATGGTGGCCTTCTTCACCCTTTCCAATACATTGGGTCTCCATGTCAGCTTGCTGTCCAAAACTATGCCGAGGTATTTGACTTGTGTTTTTGGGGTGAGCCTGGTTCTGTCAATTTTCGGGGGGATCCATGCCGGTACCTTGTACCTCTTGGTGAAGAGGATGAGGTCCGTCTTGTCTGCGTTGATACTGAGTCCTACTTTTCCCGCCCACTCACATATCTCCCTGAGTGTTGATTCCATTATAGAGCTGAGGCTCGATGGGCATACTCCCGTAATAATTATGCTTATGTCGTCCGCATAAGCTGTTATTTTTGGGGCTCTCCTCTCGAATCTCTTTATCAGGTCGTCGACCACCAGATTCCATAGGAGGGGCGAGAGGACCCCACCCTGAGGTGTGCCTCTGTGCGCCCCTTTCACCATGGAGGCGGTGCCCCACTCTGAGTACACCCGTCTACAACTTAGAAGGTTCTTTATCCAGAGGTTGATTGCGGGATGTGTGTTGATCGCTTCTAGGCGGTCCATTATCGCGCTCATATTCACGTTGTTGAATGCTCCGGATATGTCTACAAACACTCCTAGTGCATACTTCTTATTTTGGAGGGCATTTTCGATTGTGGCTACTAGCGAATGCAGTGCCGTCTCTACCGATTTCCCTTTGGTATAGGCATGCTGGTTGGGTGACATCCGCCCACCTACATCATTTATGATGTGTAGATCCAGCAGCTTTTCTAGTGTTTTGAGTAGAAAAGAGGTAAGGCTTATCGGTCTTTAGTCATTGGGGCTCATATGGCTGCACTTTCCTGCCTTTGGAAGGAAGACAATCCTCGAGGTCCTCCATTGAATAGGGATATAGCCCGTGCTCAGGCAAGCTGAGTATATTGCAGAGAGCCATGGGGTGATCACGTCTTTGGTCACCTGTAGCATGGCTGGGAATATACCGTCTAGTCCAGGTGCTTTCGTACCCACAAAGGAGTCTATAGCCCAGTGGATTCTCCTAGACGATATGAGATCTGTTGGGGGGTGCTGTTCCACAGTTGCTAGGTCCTGGTGCTCTGTAGCGTCAGAAACCTCGGTGCATCCTGGGAAGTGGGCTTCCATTAGTGCTGTTAGGGCATCTTCGCTGCCCTCAGTCCATTGTCCATCATTTCGTTTCAGCTGACTTTGTATGGCAGGTTGCTTTGATAGCAACTTCCGGAGTCTAGCCGTTTCTGGGACTTTCTCGATATTGGAGCAGAAGTTCCTCCACGAGTTTCTTTGTGCCCTGCGTATTTCCTTCTTGTACTCCCTGAGTAGGGTTTTGTATTCCTCATCGATTATCTCCTCGTTCGCCTGTTTGGCGATTTTGAAGAATTCTTAGAGGTTATTTCTTTGAAGCGATAGGTCCCGGTTCCACCATAGTGGTCTGGTTCTCTTTTTCATTCTCGAGGGTGAGCATGCTGCGTGGTATGCATCCAGTAGCTCCTTGGAAAGGGTCTCTAGGGACGATTCTATCTCTTCCGGGGATGTCACTGTGCCCGCACGATTCGCGAGCTTCGAGGTAACTGTCTTTTTAAACTTTTCCCAGTTTGTGTTCCGGGGGTTTCTATAGACAGTTATCTTCGGAGAGTGTTTAAATTCGCACTTAAACTGAATGTACTTGTGGTCTGAGAAGGATGGTCTTTCAAGGACTCTCCAGCCAGATACCAAAGTACAGTTCCCCATTACGAGTGTTAGATCTAGTACGTTGGACGAGGTGGGGCCTACGAAGGTGTGCTCCTCCCCCACGTTTGCTACATCTAGGTTAGTGGATAGTATAAAGTATAGAAGTGACTCACCTCTTTCGTTGATATCGGGGCTTCCCCACACGCTATGGTGGGCATTGGCGTCCGTACCAACTATGAGTTGCTGGTCTTTCGGACTGGCTTCCGCCACCAGACTCCTTAGCTCTTCCGGTGGAGCTGGCCTGTCGTGTGCCATGTAGCAGGATGCTACCATAAGGCGCTTGTCCTCGCTTTCAAGCATCACCGCAGCCAGGTCTTCAGTGCTGTAATGAGACATAAGATAAGCATGGATGCCCTTTCGTACAAGTACGGCGGTTCTAGTCCTGCTTACCGATGGTGGGTAGAAGAGATTGTAATTTGAGGACTTTAGTCCGGCCACAGCATTGCCGGAGGCAAGCCATGGCTCCTGGACCAAAGCAATGTCGACGGGCCCTTGCTCCAAGGCAATGAGGAGCTCCGCCGACGCGAGCTTGCTTTTATGCAAGTTGAGCTGCAGCACTCTCAATGTGGGAGGCTGGCTCAACTGCACTCGACGGGTTGACTATTATAGTCAGGTCACCGTCCTCATCCTCTGCGGCATCAGAGTCGTCCAGCGCAAGATCCTGGGCGGCCTCTACGATGGACTCCAGACCTAAGTCCTTTTCCACCTCGCCTACCTGCAGGGTATGCGCGTCCTTGTCCTCGGGGTGGCGCTTTTTGAGACGTAGGTAGACACTGCCTACGCCCCATGCCATCTTCCCGAATCTCGGGTAGAGGATGTCCTCTGCCTCCTTGTTGATCTGGATGATCATGTGCTGGCCCCCCTCATTGGGTAACGGGCTACCAGCATGCAGGATTTTCCAGTCCGCCGTGGGCACCTCTGTATTCTGCCTCTGGAGAAGTTTCAGTGCTCGGTCTCCCTGGACTGCAATGGGGAAGAGCACCTTCGCCTTTGGGATGGAAGGGATCATCTCCCTGTCCACTACCTCCAGCTTGGCCCCCTCCCACAGAGCTTCCAATTTGGGCACCACTTGCAACAGCCACTTCCTCGTCGGGTCATCATTACATTTGAGGATCTTCACCCCGTTCAGCCATCCCGCACCGTCAAAGGTGGGCATGGCAGCGTCCGGCGCTTCCTCCATTCGCGCGAAAAGGCAATCTACCAGCTGGGCGTGGACCTGTTTCCACTGCGCCGCCGTCATCTTCCCATTTTCGTCGCTGCGGTCGATCAGGGCCACGATGAGGTGCCTCTTGGACACGTCGCTCACCTTGGCCTTCTGCTTGGGCTTCTTCGTCTTAGAAGGTTGAGGGATAACCACCTTGGGCCCGCGTTGCCGCTTGCCCGCCGGAGTGTCCTTGGCACTTTCGGTCGAGCGTTGCCTTTTGGTGGCCATCATTTCCTCAACCCTATTGGCGAATTCACCCTTCATCGCCTTCATCTGAGGCAGCTGCGCGTAGTGGAGACGCCCCTCTTCAACCTTTTGCTCAGCCCAGGCTAGTTTGGACTTCTCCTCTTGGGAGATGTCCTCTTTGCCTTGTAGCCGGCTTTGAATTTTGAGGGCCGCCTTGTATTGGGCCTTAGCCTTCATCCCCTCTCTAGAACGCTTCGGCCCTTCCCTACGAAGGGAGCTGGTACCTGGTTCAGGCGAGCGGAGAAGGCTCTCTTCCTCCGTTCTGCTTACGCTGAGCACGCTCTCCAGGTCCGAGTCTGTTTCGACCACGGCACCCGTGCGGCTCAGCTTGCAGAGAGGCGTTTTGGTGGCAGTAGCTTTAAAACTAATATGACCTGCTCCCGCCATATCAGAGTTGTGACCGCTGGCGACAAGCAGAGAGGATTGCTCCTCCCCGTGCCCGCCGGTGGTAGCAGTCACGCTTTCCACCGACGTTTGGACTGACATCCCAGTCCCTGCTTGATCCTTACTCCGGTCCATGTGGTTAATATTTATCGGGGGGACCACCCCCTAGAGTTTTATGCCTGTCCGCCAGGCACCTCCAGCCATGGCCATGGTTCAGTTCCCCCAATTTTTATATCGGGAAGACCTGGACCCGGCCTTAGCTAGACACTGCATTACCGCGGACAGAGCAAACGGCAATGCATTAACCCGATCCGGGGTAATGCAGTGCCCATTGCCCGGCCGGCACCCTCTGGGAGGGTTCAGCTGGAGGATTTTTGCCTGGCCTTTTGTACATATATAATTACATTAAAAATTCGCGTGCTGGTTTAACTCAAAACACAAGATCGATTGGACAGAACAACAATATAGATAGGGAAAACGAAGTCAAATTGACTACTTATTGCACTGATATATATTGCACGGCATGATGTTCTTGCACCAGCTGAGGTGTTGTTGTAATGCTGCGTTGATGTTGCTACGACAGCAGACTGCCCACCCTACCATGATCATCCTAGCCGCAAGACCAAATTAGTGGCCGATGATCCCTGAAACAACCACCACATTAACCTATCTCCATACTACTCTCGGAATTCAACAATATACGAATTCAGAATATACCCAGATAATGACAAAGGGTATGTTTAAGTCGGCTATCCCAAAAAAAAATTACTGGTTTGCAATATAACTATGTAAAAATATAAAGAGTACAAATTTATCCATAACATTAGTAAAAATGAAGAAAAGTTATCTAAATAAAAAGCGAGGGAATTAAACTAGCATGCCTATATAAAAGTGTCGCCAAAATGGTTAAAATTGTTCGAATTAGAACCGTTTTCCATTCGAGACCGTCAACCTGCACTTTGTACGTTCCAGTTCTACTTAAACTGTGCTCTTTTTCTTTTGTTCCAATGCAAATATAATGGCTTCAAAACTGTGAGGGGTACAATTACTGTTCCGTTTCATCTGGAACTTGGATTCTCCCTCTATTCTATCTTATACCTTTATGCATGCATTCTAAGCTAAATAATTAATTGGTGTTTCTTACTTACGTGCCATCCATCTCCAAAAGCGCTTTTATTGATGCGATGCGACGACTCGGCTATAATTGCTGTAACACCCAAAGAAAATAAAGAAACAGCACACACTAAGCAAGAAAGGGGAGAGAAACCAACGTCATATAGGCTTGCGTTATCATTTTTTATACCCGTACTCAAAAAAGAGTTAAGGGGTATATTAGATTTGTGGTAAAAGTGGATGTGTGTAACGCAGAGAAGGAAACGTTTCCGACCCCATAAAGTATATATATTCTTGATCAGCATCAATAGCCGAGTCGATAGAGCCATGTCTGTCTGTCCGTCTTGTTTGACGCCTGGATCTCAGAGACTATAAAAGCTAGAGAAACCAAATTTTGTTTCCAGACTCATGTGATATCACACTGCTACAAGTGTATTTCAAAATTTCGCCCCGCCCCTTTCCGCCCCCACAAAGGACGAAAATCGGTGGCAGCCACAATTTTAAAGATTTGAAATTCTAAAAAATCATAAGCTGTATATACTGACTGAGTACGGGTATAAGTAGAGTCGTGTCCCCAGAAACGACTCACACGTTCCTTCTCGTTTGTTTTCCTTTTGTTTTTCTTTTCGGCCTCTCAGTATTGAACTTTTATCTCTTCTCTATGCACTTTTCATTTTGGCTCTCATTACTAATATGGCGAGTATCAATAAGTGGCTGGGAAAAGAGAGACACTTACGAAAATTAAAAGGGAACGACGATTAAAAATGTAAAACGGCATCTTCTACCGCTCTAAAAAAAAACTATTTTTAACTATTCCACTACACTTATGCTATTTTTAGCGGCTCACTCGTATATGGCAATTATGATGAAGCTCCTCTGCGTTTTTTTTCTATTCCAGTCAATTGGGGTTTTCTTACTTAGGGTTTTGCTTTTGCACTATCACTCTTAACTTATCACGCTCTAATTAGGCTAGAGAGGCAGATATACGAAAAGAAAACTGATATAAGTTATAAAAGAAAAGGGTATTTTATAACCCCGACGTGTTTCGGTTTAAATTCCGCAGCTTCTCCGTTCCCGACGATGTCTTCGGAGGTGCGAATTGCAACTAATTCGGCTCCAAATTGCAGAGAGCGCTTATCTCTGCTTAGTTACGCATATTAGAATGCGGCGAATTCCCGACCAGAGGTATTCATTCCAGCTGATTTGTTGCTGGTTTTAGTTCGGCGAATCGATCTCAATTAGTTAATGGTCAGCTGCTAATGAGCTCGCGATGGCTTGGCAATTCGAATCTAAAATTTGCACTAAGTGCCAATTCTGCAATTGCACATAGAAAAAAAAATGGTTGCTCTACAAGTTGCCCAAAAATTTGCACTGAAACCAACATCTGGCCGACTTACCGCTTATTGGCGATTGGCACTCTTGTTATTTCAACTCGTTATCTCGGTGCTGCTCCACAATTGTGTCTACTTTATAATTTCTTCGATCTTTTTTTAAATTTTGAGCAGAAAAACAATGTGATTTAACCTCGGCGCGGTTTTAGATAGTCGCTATATAATTAACTTGTTCCAGAGACGTCCTCTTCGGGTGGGGACCAGCATAGAAAAGATCATAACAGTAGCTGGGCTCACCTACCAGAACCTGTTAACAGCGAAAGTGCCCCATCCGCCATTGCCAAATAATTAACATCAATAGGTAGCTACAACACTCTCACTCCCGATCGTTGCCCCCTTGCACCCTCGATTATGAACACTAGGGGCGCTAGCATAAGCTACAATATTCGCCTAGGGAAATTTTAATTTCGGTGGTTCTAAAATCTATACTTCAAGCGACACTACAAATCCGATCTCAATAACTTTCAGTTACCATGACTGTGCAAATATGTTACACCTAAATGCCTCGAAATGCAAAGTAATGACATTTCATCGCTCCAGCCCCTTTTTGGCTCCTTATAGCCTCTGCGGTGGTTCTCTTGAGAGAATTACCTTGGTTGATGATCTTGGTGTTAAACTAGACCCCAAGTTAAAGTTTTCTGAACACATTTCTACCATGGTAAATAAGGCCATGGGCGTGAATGGGTTTATAAAGAGGTGGTCAAAGGAAATTGACGACACCTATATAACGAAGACTCTCTATATCTCGCTTGTTCGTCCAATTTTAGAGTACGGCTCTTGTGTATGGTGCCCCCAGTACAAAGTACACCAGGATCGTATAGAATCAGTCCAGAAAAACTTTTTACTTTTTGCTCTGAGTGGCCTTAACTGGGATGCAGGTGTGAGACTGCCATCTTACCCTCGTAGATTGCTTTTAATAAACCTTCCAACCTTAGTTAGTCATACAAAAATGCTTGGTGAGATTTTTTTGCACAACCTGATCAAGGGTGACGTAGATAGCCCTGACTTGTTGAGCCGCATAAAATTTACGGTTCCTATCGATATACTAGAAAGTTTATTCCTTTGTTCCTTCCACTTTCTAACATGTAGATTATACATGTACCATTTAGATTCTACATCTCCTTTGCTAGGGGTTGCTCGCGCACTAAACGCGGCAGAGTGTGCGAACGAGAAAGAGAATGAGTAGCGGGTCTCTGGCTGAAGTAGGCGGGGGAAGCAACTGAAAATGAATTGCTTCATTTTGGCTATAATTATACTCCGATCTAATTCAGAGACGGCAATCTGGTAGATATGGCCATTCTTTACGACACTGCGTTTTCAGTTTATTGTATCTTTAAAATTGTGCCAGCCACAGATTTTCGTCTTTTGTGGTGGCGGAAGAGGGCGAGGTGAAAATTTGAAATACACTTGTAGCAGTGTGATATTACATGAGTCTGGAAACCAAATTTGGTTTCCCTAGCTCTTACAGTCTCTGAAATCTCTTTGACTTTAAAAAATCCGGAAAAGTGCGAAAAAAAAATAATTCTTGGCCAACATTTTTAGTTTTAGATAGACACATTAAACTAATTTTACCTGAAAAATATCGTTGCTGGTCCAATGCCAAAGGAACACGTTCAGGTACCAAAAATGCAACCCCTTTTCGTTTGCTTTGTTTCCAATTGACAGTTGGGCCCGCAACCTTCTAAAAAGTATTTTTTGTCTATTTTTTTCGTTTTTGAGGTTTGGTTAACGAATTTTAGCACCACCGTCTCTCCATAGATTTGAATGAACAATTGCATCTTGCAATCAACCTCTGGAAAAAGAACCTTCTAAGTTGTAGACGGGTGCAATCAGAGTGAGCCACCGCTTCCATGGTAAAGGGCGCGCACAGAGGCAAACCTCAAGTTGTGGTCCTGTCGCCAATCCTGTGAAATCTGGTAGTAGACGACTTAACTAAGAGATTCGAGAGAAAAGCCTCAAAAATAAAAGCTTATGCGGACGACATAAGCATAATAATTATGGGAGTATGTCCATCGAACCTCAGTTCCAAAATGTAATCAACACTCAGGGAGAAATGTGAGACACCTGCTCTAATGCACTGGATCTACATCTCAGTGGTGCGACCGACTCTGCTGTATGGAGTCTGAGTGTGGTGGCAGGCTACCGAAAAGAAGACGTACAACAAGCTTACGGACAGGACTTAGCGACAGGCACTGATCTGCATGACGGGGGCTCTGAGGTCAACCTCAACAAAAGCACTCGAAAAAATACTCGGAATCGACCCCCTGGACATCCACACTCAACTGATTG